AAACCGAATTAATTAACTATTCTAGTTAACTAATTACAAAACGAAATTGAATAACTAGTTAAACTAACTAATTATTTACAACACTTAATTAGCTACAACTAATTAATTACAACACATATTTGATCTATTGCTAATTAAACTAATTAGATAATCCTGGGAAGCGATGGAGGCCCATGCATGCTCGGTTTCCACCTGAAAAACCACTGCCTTGCTGCTGAATGCCTTTGTTTGCACATTGAACACCAACAATTCTGTCCACTTCCAGAACATCTCTGCTCCGCCTTACCAACACACTGTGCAAATTTCACTGATGGCCGATAAGGGGCCGTTCGACTACTGGTGGTGGCTGTCGGCCACTGGTAACCTGGACTTCCTTGCTACAACAGAGAGCAAACAGAACAAAACAGTGTATTTCTCAAGGGTTGTTTGCACACTTTGCCTCTCTTTTTCATGGAGAAATCAAATGAGGGACAAAATTTGGTTCATAAACCATAAATCAAGCAATTTCATTGCAGGATAGCTTGTGAAACTAATTGTGCAAATTTAATAAATGCAAAATGAGACCAAAATGACCATCACCCTATCATGCATGATCAAGGGCAATGGGGACCTAGGAAAATGGCACATTTCATCACTTTTGAGTATGAAATATCCCATTTTCCTTGTGTTCAAATTAACGTCCGATTTGAACACATGCACTGTAACACAAATGAATGCTTATCTTGTCACTTTTACTTGTCAATTTTGTTTACACATTTTAGTTACCAAATCATTCATTAATCAATTTGTCCATTGGTGAGTGTCTTCTAAGATGAAAGAAGTGTCAACCAAGGGATAGTTTAAGGCATGAAAGAAGCTTCATGCTGTTGGTAAAGAACCCTCTAAGGAGGATTAAACCATTAAGCATGAGCCTCAATCTCAAGCTTAAACAACCCTAAAGTTGAAACAACCCTCAAAGAAAATGAAAAAGTGAAGAAATGATAGAGATTGCAGATATTATAAGTGTTGAAATTAGGTGAGAAAAAGCACTAAAACATGCAATCAATTCAAACCAATGGTGGTTAAAGGCTTAAAACACCAAGCTAGTGAAAGGACTTACACTACAACTATGCAATACAAGACTCAAAAGTACCAAACAGCCAAAGCAGTGGCAAAATAGCTCAAAACAGAGTTCAAAGCATGCTGGACTTGAGCCACAAAAAGCTAAAACATTAAGCTAATACATCGGGCTAACTAGGTATGCAAACAAGACACAAGAATGGGAGGCTAACCCCTCCAAATTTGGACTTCAAAATGAGTTTTTTGCTACTGAAAAACCTCTAAAATTCAGTGGTTAAAAGGCCAAAAAAGTTGATTTGAAGGTGGTGAACAAAGTTACAAAAGCTTTACAAACAAAGAAGTAAAAAGGGTAAACCACCCTTTAATTGAAAATGGCCTCAAACTAACACTTTTATGCCACAAAAACAGAGTTTTTTACAGTTCAAAATCAGCTCAAAAACAATTGGAAAAGATGGGAAAACAAATATACAAAACAATTGTAAAAGGGAAGTGTTATACCTTTTGAAGCCAAGGCACAAATTAGGCAACAAAGCAAGTCACAACCACCTTCTAAAGCACAAAGAGGGTCTCAAGAAACCTCAGTCCAAAGAGAAGCAACTTTGATCAAGGGTGTATAGGCGAAAGTGTAGGATTTGTGAGCAAATGTGTATAAAATTGCAAGACAGAGAGAGAAATCTAGAGAGAGGGAGATAATTTGGTTCCAAAATTGCTAACCCTCAAAAATGGGGGAGGAACCCCCCTATATATGGAAAAACAAGCCTTGAGCTTAGAAATATCCTACCATACATGTGTAGGGAGATGCAGCTCAATGTGCTAACAGCTGGCACATCTGTCAACAAATATTTGGAAAAAGATACTGGTAGCCGTCGGCCACCAATGGCCGACAACCATGAGCCAGGGCCGACAGCCTATGGTGGTGGCCGACAGGTCTTTCCCCGTCTACTGCTTGAAACAATAAAGTTTTTTTTCCCCGTCTTCTTGGGAAGTCCTCGTGTTGCCCCCCCTTTGTCCATTTTTCCACCCCCCCCCCCTCCTCTTTTTTTTTTCCCCGGACAGCCTGTCTGATTTTTAGCCCATTCAATCGCCTTCGCCTCTTTTTCGACAATTTCTCCCTTTTAAACCATTTCCAGATTATCCTGTTCCATTCAATTTCATTTTTTTCCCCGTCTACTGCTTAAAACAATAAAGTCGCGGTTAATCTTCGGTTGCGATCATACCAGCACTAATGCACCGGATCCCATCAGAACTCCGCAGTTAAGCGTGCTTGGGCGAGAGTAGTACTAGGATGGGTGACCCCCTGGGAAGTCTTCGTGTTGCACCCCTTTTGCCCCTTTTTCCCCCCCCTCCTCTTTTTTTTTTCCCCGGACAGCCTGTCTGATTTTTAGCCCATTCAATCGCCTTCGCCTCTTTTTCGACAATTTCTCCCTTTTAAACCATTTCCAGATTATCCTGTTCCATTCAATTTCATTTTTTTCCCCTTCTACTGCTTAAAACAATAAAGTCGCGGTTAATCTTCGGTTGCGATCATACCAGCACTAATGCACCGGATCCCATCAGAACTCCGCAGTTAAGCGTGCTTGGGCGAGAGTAGTACTAGGATGGTGACCCCCTCGGAAGTCCTCGTTTTGCACCCCTTTTGCCCCTTTTTCCCCCCCCCCCCTCTTTTTTTTTTTCCCCGGACAGCCTGTCTGATTTTTAGCCCATTCAATCGCCTTCGCCTCTTTTTCGACAATTTCTCCCTTTTAAACCATTTCCAGATTATCCTGTTCCATTCAATTTCATTTTTTTCCCCTTCTACTGCTTAAAACAATAAAGTCGCGGTTAATCTTCGGTTGCGATCATACCAGCACTAATGCACCGGATCCCATCAGAACTCCGCAGTTAAGCGTGCTTGGGCGAGAGTAGTACTAGGGTGGGTGACCCCCTGGGAAGTCCTCGTGTTGCCCCCCTTTCCCCCCTTTTTCCCCCCCCCCCCTCTTTTTTTTTTTCCCCGGACAGCCTGTCCGATTTTTAGCCCTTTCAATCGACTTCGCCTCCTTTTCGACAAACTTCTCCCTTTTAAACCATTTCCAGATTATCCCGTTCCATTCAATTTCATTTTTTTCTCCGTCTACTGCTTAAAACAATAAAGTCGCGGTTAATCTTCGGGTGCGATCATACCAGCACTAATGCACCGGATTCCGTCAGAACTCCGCAGTTAAGCGTGCTTGCGCGAGAGTAGTACTAGGATGGGTGACCCCCTGGGAAGTCCTCGTGTTGCACCCCTTTTCCCACCCCCCTCCCCTTTTTTTTTTCCCCGGACAGCCTGTCCGATTTTTAGCCCATTCAATCGCCTTCGCCTCCTTTTCGACAATTTCTCCCTTTTAAACCATTTCCAGATTATCCTGTTCCATTCAATTTCATTTTTTTCCCCGTCTACTGCTTAAAACAATAAAGTTGCGGTTAATCTTCGGGTGCGATCATACCAGCACTAATGCACCGGATCCCATCAGAACCCTGCAGTTAAGCGTGCATGGGCGAGAGTAGTACCAGGATGGGTGACCCCCTGGGAAGTCCTCGGGTTGCACCTCTTTTTCCCCGTCTACTGTTCCATTCAATTTCAATTTTTTCCCCGTCTACTGCTTAGAACCACAAAGTCGCGGTTAATCTTCGGGTGCGATCATACCAGCACTAAAGCACCGGATCCCATCAGAACTCCGCAGTTAAGCGTGCTTGGGCGAGAGTAGTACTAGGATGGGTGACCCCCTGGGAAGTCCTCGTGTTGCACCCATTTTTCCCACCCCCCTCTCCTTTTTTTTTTTTCCCCGGACAGCCTGTCCGATTTTTAGCCCATTCAATCGCCCTCGCCTCCTTTTCGACAAACTTCTCCCTTTTAAACCATTTCCAGATTATCCTGTTCCATTCAATTTCATTTTTTTCCCCGTCTACTGCTTAGAACAATAAAGTCGCTGCTAATCTTCGGGTGGGAACATACCAGCACCAATGCACCGGATCCCATCAGAACTCCGCAGTTAAGCGTGCTTGGGCGAGAGTAGTACTAGGATGGGTGACCCCCTGGGAAGTCCTCGTGTTGCACCTTTTTTTCCATGCCCCCTCTCCTCTTTTTTTTTCCCCGGAGAGCCTGTCCGATTTTTAGCCCATTCAATCGCCTTCGCCTCCTTTTCGACAAACTTCTCCCTTTTAAACCATTTCCCGATTATCCTGTTCCATTCAATTTCATTTTTTTCCCCGTCTACTGCTTAAAACAATAAAGTCGCGGCTAATCTCCGGGTGCGATCATACCAGCACTAATGCACCAGATCCCATCAGAACTCCGCAGTTAAGCGTCCTTGGGCGAGAGTAGTACCAGGATGGGTGACCCCCTGGGAAGTCCTCGTGTTGCACCTCTTTTTCCACCCCCCTTCCTTTTTTTTTTCCCCCGGACAGCCTGTCCGATTTTTAGCCCATTCAATCGCCTTCGCCTCCTTTTCGACAAACTTCTCCCTTCTAAACCATTTCCAGATTATCCTGTTCCATTCAATTTCATTTTTTTCCCCGTCTACTGCTTAAAACAATAAAGTCGCGGCTAATCTTCGGGTGCGATCATACCAGCACTAATGCACCGGATCCCATCAGAACTCTGCAGTTAAGCGTTCTTGGGTGAGGGTAGTACTAGGATGGGTGACGCCATGGGAAGTAATCGTGTTGCACCCCTTTTTCCACCCCTCTCCCCTTTTTTTTGTCCCCGGACAGCCTGTCCGATTTTTAGCCCATTCAATCGCCTTCGCCTCCTTTTCGACAAACTTCTCCCTTTTAAACGATTTCCAGATTATCTTGTTCCTTTCAATTTCATTTTTTTCCCCGTCTACTGCTTAAAACAATAAAGTCGCGGTTAATCTTCGGGTGCGATCATACCAGCACTAATGCACCGGATCACATCAGAACTCCGCAGTTAAGCGTGCTTGGGCGAGAGTAGGGTGACCCAGGGTGACCCCCTGACAATAAAGTCGCGGTTAATCTTCGGGTGCGATCATACCAGCACTAATGCACCGGATCCCATCAGAACTCCGCAGTTAAGCGTGCTTGGGCGAGAGTAGTACTAGGATGGGTGACCCCCTGGGAAGTCCTAGATTATCCTGTTCCATTCAATTTCATCTTTTTCCCCGTCTACTGCTTAAAACAATAAAGTCGCGGTTAATCTTCGGGTGCGATCATACCAGCACTAATGCACCGGATCCCATCAGAACTCCGCAGTTAAGCGTGCTTGGGCGAGAGTAGTACTAGGATGGGTGACCCCCTGGGAAGTCCAAGTGTTGCACCCCTTTTGCCCCTTTTTCCCCCCCCCCCTCTTTTTTTTTTCCCCGGACAGCCTGTCCGATTTTTAGCCCATTCAATCGCCTTCGCCTCCTTTTTTTTTCCCCGTCTACTGCTTAAAACAATAAAGTCGCGGTTAATCTTCGGGTGCGATCATACCAGCACTAATGCACCGGATCCCATCAGAACTCCGCGGTTAAGCGTGCTTGGGCGAGAGTAGTACTAGGGTGGGTGACCTGTCCGATTTTTTGCCCATTCAATCGCCTTCGCCTCCTTTTCGACCAACTTCTCCCTTTTAAACCATTTCCAGATTATCATGTTCCATTCAATTTCATTTTTTCCCCGTCTACTGCTTAAAACAACAAAGTCGCGGCTAATCTTCCGGTGCGATCATACCAGCACTAATGCACCGGATCCCATCAGAACTCCGCTGTTAAGCGTTCTTGGGCGAGAGTAGTACTAGGATGGCTGACCCCCTGGGAAGTCCTCGTGTTGCACCCCTTTTTCCACCCCCCCTCTCCTTTTTTTTTTCCACGGACAGCCTGTCCGATTTTTAGCCCATTCAATCGCCTTCGCCTCCTTTTCGACAAACTTCTCCCTTCAAAACCATTTCCAGATTATCCTGTTCCATTCAATTTCATTTTTTTCCCCGTCTATTGCTTAAAACAACAAAGTCGCGGTTAATCTTCGGGTGCAATCATACCAGCACTAATGCACCGGATCCCATCAGGACTCCGTTTCCAGATTATCCTGTTCCATTCAATTTCATTTTTTTCCCCTTCTACTGCTTAAAACAATAAAGTCGCGGTTCATCTTCGGGTGCGATCATACCAGCACTAATGCACCGGATCCCATCAGAACTCCGCAGTTAAGCGTGTTTGGGCGAGAGTAGTACTAGGATGGGTGACTCCCAGGGAAGTCCTCGTGTTGCACCGCTTTTTCCACCCCTTCCCCTTTTTTTTTTCCCCGGACAGCCTGTCCGATTTTTTGCCCATTCAATAACCTTCGCCTCCTTTTCGACAAACTTCCCCCTTTTAAACCATTTCCAGATTATCCTGTTCCATTCAATTTCATTTTTTTCCCCGTCTACTGCTTAAAACAATAAAGTCGCGGTTAATCTTCGGGTGCGATCATACCATCACTAATGCACCGGATCCCATCAAAACTCCGCAGTTAAGCGTGCTTGGGCGAGAGTAGTACTAGGATGGGTGACCCCCTGGGAAGTCCTCGTGTTGCACCCCTTTTTCCACCACCCGTCCCCTTTTTTTTTTTCCCCGGACAGCCTGTCCGATTTTTAGCCCATTCAATCGCCTTCGCCTCCTTTTTGACAAACTTCTCCCTTTTAAACCATTTTCAGATTATCCTGTTGCATTCAATTTCATTTTTTTCCCCGTCTGCTGCTTAAAACAATAAAGTCGCGGTTAATCTTCGGGTGCGATCATACCAGCACTAATGCACCGGATCCCATCAGAACTCCGCCGTTAAGCGTGCTTGGGCGAGAGTAGTACTAGGATGGGTGACCCCCTGGGAAGTCCTCGTGTTGCACCCCTCTTTCCCCACCCCTCCCCTTTTTTTTTCCCCGGACAGCTTGTCCGATTTTAGGCCCATTCAATCGCCTTCGCCTCCTTTTCGACAAACTTCTCCCTTTTAAACCATTTCCAGATTATCCTGTTGCATTCAATTTCATTTATTTCCCCGTCTACTGCTTAAAACAATAAAGTCGCGGTTAATCTTCGGGTGCGATCATACCAGCACTAATGCACCGGATACCATCAGAACTCCGCAGTTAAGCGTGCTTGGGCGAGAGTAGTACTAGGATGGGTGACCCCCTGGGAAGTCCTCGTGTTGCACCCCTGTTTCCACCCCCCCTCCCCTTTTTTTTTTCCCCGGACAGCCTGTCTGATTTTTAGCCCATTCAATCGCCTTCACCTCCTTTTCGACAAACTTCTCCCTTCTAAACCATTTCTAGATTATCCTGTTCCATTCAATTTCATTTTTTTCTCCGTCTACTGCTTAAAACAATAAAGTC